AGTGTGAGCGGTCGCGGCGATGTCGCGCAGATCACTGAAGCTCACAAATAAAAAAAAGTTATGTTCTAAAATTCATATTCCACGTGGATGAAGTCGCGGGCAACAACTCACGACAAATATGTACTGATTAGTACCTAATTAAGATACCTATGTATTTTAGTTTTAGTAGTTTTAAAAGAAAATCATTGATTTTCTTAAAAAAAGACTTACACATACAATTGCGTAGTTTCCAGGGTAAGAAAATTAAAAATCGAATTGACGGACCAGTTAGATAATGAAAAAATAAAATTGGCATTAAGTTTAGGAGTGAGAGGTCGTTACGTCACAATCACAACGTGCTACGTTTTGTTGCACGCTGTGACGTCACACGACATTTCAAATCAATATGTCATCAAAAGCATTTAATTTTATGAGAAAAGAAAAAATACGTGTCTATTGTTTTAAAATAATCTACCAGACGAACATTAAAATCAAATTTAATAAACTAGCCTATTCCCTCCATCAACAGCCTATAAATGCCCACTGCTGAGCAAAGCCTCGCACGGAGAAGGTTTGAGCATTAATCACCACGCTTGCTCAATGCGGGTTGGCGATTTCAAACTTATAATTAGAAATTATAAGTCTAAGTTATTTCCTTCACCGTTTGTCAGTGGTGTCTAAATGATCTTAGAAAGTACATATAACTCGGAAAAAGTCACATTGGTACTTGCCGTTGGTAGGTTTTGAACCCGCACCCTCATGCATGAGAAGCCATCTTACACCTCCGGGCTACCACGCCTATTCCCTTATTGTCCCTAAACCAGTAAACGTATTCATGTAAATAAGCGAGTACATTAGACTTACAAATACAAACACATACATACATATTGACATTAAAAATGTTGTAAATATTGTTCGGGCCTAGTTGTAGTACGTCATAAATATGTAATGATTCCAATTAATAACGTTCAGCAGTGACGACATACTGGTTGTATGAATTCATGAATATTATCAGCAGAAGTAAGATTGGTTTATTTTAGTAACTTATGTGTAAAATCACAGCTTAAATTACTAGCTAGAATTTCTCCCGCGTGAGACGAGACGGAGTGTCAGACTCTAACTGGCTAAAAACCACCCCGTTCCTACTGCTGCATTTCGAGCCGGAGCCCCGGCAACCCGCAAAGTCCTCCGTGGCTCCGCATCGCCATCAGCCCTATTGGGCCCCATTTGTGGTAACTTTTTAACCTCGTAACTCAAAAACTCCTTACTCAATTACGAAAACTAATATTCAGCATTTTTCACATAAGCATAATTGGTTGGACTGATTTTTCCAACGCCAGAATTAACCGCAGGAATAATTTTAAATTTTCTTCCATACTAATAACTGTCAAATGTCAATTTTATTCTACAGATAAAAAATATTACTGATGGAAAATCGACCCTAAATCAGATTAATGTTAATCTAAAGTTAATTAGATGACCAGATAAATAAATAAAGCAAACAAGAAACCGCTAAATGATGGTTGCTCGCACCATCCGATCTGAAGACATTGGGAGAAGTATATATTCAGCAGTATACGACTTATGGGCTCATACACAAAACTGCGATGCGACGTTGCATCGCTAAAATGTGCGAGCTCCCTCTACGCATCGTAAGAACTTGCGCATTGATTCGCATCACGCATCAAATTCTTATCTTCCCAAAATCTTCTTTGTTTCTTTTCCTTTATCTCCTAAGCAATAACATAAGTGCACACTTCTTTTTACGATCCATGTCACGACCTAGTTTTCAAATTAAAATACGTTAAGTACGGTTGACGGTCATCGAAGGAATGGTCTCCCTGGGAGGTGCCTTGTCGCACGAAATCGCATAGCAGCAGTTCGCATCGTAATTTTTTGCGTTGCGAATGCGCATCGCGTCGCAGTTTTGTCTACAAGCCCGAGCTACAAGCTGATACGATGATAATACAACGGTCAAAGTCAAACAATTTATTTCAATTAATAATTTAAGTAGGCACTCTTGAAACGTCAAAATTGAATTATCTGTCTGTAAGTGAAGGCAAAGAGTATAATAAGTATAGTGAAGGTACCTAGCTCGTTCCAAAGTGTACCAGTTTGTGAACTATTCTAAAGTTTTTAAATTAGAACCTACATGCTTTTAAAACAGATTAAAGCGGTTTGTAAGAAAAAAAATCTGTCGATTATCGAAAAACATTTCTGTTTTTTTATATATATTTTATGGGTTGAGGTTTGACCACTATCTCGCCTGGTGGTAAGCGATGATGCGGTCTACGATGGACAACGTCGTCCCATAAGGAACCTAACAAATAATCTTAAAACTGAATATTTTTACTTCTACCAGGGATGTTATGTTAACACTCCTAAGTGATATAAACAGACATACATACGTCAACTACATCAATCTGGAGATCAGCAAGCAGAATAATAACCAATCAGAGGGTTACGTCTAAGATGCATCACGGCAACTGTTAACACATGTGATGTGTTCATTAACTGTGCACTGGGAATTGGGAACACGGTTATTGAGATTGACAAGCTATCACGGATCGGTATGATACTGTGATTGATACTGATAGGATTGGAATCAGTGTATCATGTTAGGCATGCCTGGTTAAGGTAATCCCCGAAATGTATGAAAGAATTTATTAGTCTGACCAATTTCATCATGCGGGATCAATATCAGCACGGAACAACTTTTGTGTGATTTACAGATTGTTGTTCCGGAACTGGGTGTCATGTGTATGTGAACTTGTATGTTTGTAAACGCACCCACGACACAGGAGAACACCAAAAGGGGGAACGCTTTTCTAAAAAAATAAAATAAAAAAGAGGTTGTTTATAGATTTGTTTTATTAATCACTAAACCTTAATACAGCTTTTTTAGTTAGAATAAATCTAACTAAACTACTAACGAAAGTGATACTGTGTGACTAACATTCAAACTTGAGTAGATATTGTGACTATTCACAGTATTTACTATTTTAGATACTAGTTTAGTTATATATTTTTAGACCACAATGAGACTACGCAAGTCTACTTATAAAATGGATTAAAATCAAAGCTTTTTACAGGTTCACATTTTATGATCATGCAAATGAAATGTGAATAAAAAAGTTAATTTAATTTCATCTCAATTAGTTGAAGATTTCTGCTTCATTCATCGCAAGATTCAACTTCCAACACATACATTGCAAGTCAAAAAACAAGCTTATAAAGACTTCCTTTTATAGCAACGCCATCTAGTTTGTGTTATATGCATCTTAAGCATGACAGGCATCATACGGTGCTTCCGTATATTGGGTACTTGCCAACTAGTCAAATTCAATACTTTTTCAAACTGTCAAAAACGACGGTTTTCTAAGAATTTTTTACGAGATTGTGTATTGTGACGTCACGATTTTTTGCGTCAATCAGCATATTATGAGCGTACTTAGGACTTAAGAATTTGCTGAAAAAGTGCAAAAATAAGTTGGTCGTAAAATCAATTAATGAAAGTGTGATTATTTTTTTAACTATTTTTATTGTACTGAACAGTGGAAATAATTTATTTTTGATTAAGGATATGACCCAATTACTAAGTACGACTTAAACATTGTTCATAGAATCCATTATAACATCTTAATAATTAGGAATATAGTATAACTAGTAAAAGACAATGTAATGAGAAATACTATAAAAAGGAGCCTATGGTAATGGAGCCAATGCACTTTGTTCATACATTAGTGATTCAGAAGGGTGATCCCTATCGCTTCCCATGGGTGTAATGTCCAGTAAGGGTGGACATATTTTCATGGGACAAGTAGTACAACTGTTTAATAATACTGACCATGATATAAGACCTTACCTTTTTGGGAAATGCCGTAGCTTATCAATGGTTCTCTTGGGTACTTGTACTGAATTGAGAAAAACGATATGTAAGTTGTCTTAGAAGATGTACCTCTATATAGATGCAAAAAACATGAGCAAGTAATTTTTTGAAGACTGTTGGAGATCTCTTTTTTTTCAAATATCAAGCGAAGTGTGGGAGAGCCATGCTTAGGCAAGAATGGGCCGACTCGACCGGAGTGATACGGCCGAGCAGAATACCGACGTGTAACAACGATTGCGTTGTATACCGTCGTGTGAGTGAGGTTACTCGAGGTCCAATTAACCCCCCTTCACTCCCCAATCTCCTTAATACAATTGGATACTTGCCTTAATTAAAAATAAATTATTTCGACTGTTCAATACAATAAAATATAGAAAAATAATCACACTTTCATTAATTGATTTTATGATCAACTTAAAATTTTGATATTTTTCCACCAAAATTTTTAAGGAATAATTATTATAATTATGCTGTTTGACGCTAAAAAATCGTGACGTCACAATACACAATCTCGTACAAAATTCATAGAAAACTGTCGTTTTTGACAGTTCGAAAAAAGTATTGATTTTGACTAGTTCGCAAGTACCCAATCCTCGAATTCCTAATCCCCAAAAGGCCACTAAAGCACTTTTAACGCCTCTGGCGTTCCAGGTGTCCATGAGCGGCGCCGATTGCTTACCACTACTATCAGGTGATCCGTCTGCTCGTTTAGGTACCAGCTTATCCCATAAAAAATAAATAGGTATTACAGATAGTAAAGAAAAACACGTCGTATTTGTCGCATTTCCTGAATTACGCACCCACAATAATAAGACAATAATTTTTGTTAAGTTTTGTAAGAGAAAATGTAAATGCGTAGGTCATTACCTAAAAGACATTTCTTTTAGGTACAAAAAAGTGCGTGTAAAAGAAAAACAAACACGTAACACAAACTATTATCACATTCAACGTAATTATAACTACTCGCTTAACATAGCAACGACCGATTAAAACATTAAAGTTGTGAATAACTTTATATGGATGAATGGTCCAAAAATGGAAGCCAGATTGAGTAACTGGCCGCCATCTAATTATCACATAATTCCGTCTAATCGGACAGGATTCTGATGAAACAATTACTCCGTTTTACAGAGAGCGGACAATGAATCAACAATTAACTAATTACGGACGATTTTAGGACACGTTATGAAAATATATTCGGAGGTGCGTAACGTGAATAGTTAATAACCGTGAAGCGAAGGATTGTAAGGAATTGACAAATAAGGAGCCGATGAACGTATAAATACGCATCGTCGGTTTCTATTCCACTATTACCCAGTGCACAAACAGTTTGGATAACGTCCAGGCCTGAACTTACCTGAGCACCATGTTCAGCTTCATTGCGGTAAGTTTAAATGACTTTTCACATCTTGATCGATAATTGAAAACTAACTAATTCGATCTTTATTTAATCCTAATCGATTCTAATCTTATATTAATCTAAATAGCTGTGTTCCGTAGGTATTTTCTCATGTTAATTTGATTGAAGTTTTACGTATCAAAAACATTGTGGGGTAACATGATTCATGTAGTGTTTTAATGTGTATCGATTACCATTTTAATCGGACAATTTACAAAGTATATGATTGATTTCGCGATAATTTGTAACATCGATGCATACAATATAAGTTAATATTCATGAAAGTAGTTACAAGATTTTTAATTTGCATTCAATTTCAGATTGCTTGCTTGTTTGGTGTGGCAACGGCGGCTCCGTCTGCGATCGGGGCACTGCCTATTGCCACCGGCAGTATCGTAAGTAGATAATACAAAATGTAACTATTTACTGATGACCAAGCCACACTATTAATAATAATATTTTTTGCCAGTCAGTCCCACGGTACGGCTTCAACTACGCTGTCAACGACCCCCTAACTGGCGACCAGAAAGCTCAAACCGAGTCTCGTGACGGAGGATATGTGAAAGGCTCGTACTCACTCACGGAACCCGACGGTACCCTTCGAGTAGTGGACTATACTGCTGACCCAGTGTCGGGATTCAACGCGGTAGTCAAACGAGTGGGACCGGCCGCCCACCCACAAACTTTAGTAGCTGCCCCCGTTGTGAGCAAACAAATCGTAGCTCCTATTGCTGCTGCACCTATCGCCGCTGCCCCAATTGCAGCTGCTCCCATCGCTACTGCAGGATACGCGTCCAGTCTCGTTGGCCTCGGAGGTTACGGATTAGGTTTGGGAGCCGGTCTCGGCCATGCTGGTCTCGGTCACGCTGGTCTCGGCTTAGCTGGCGCCGACCTCGGCATCGGATACGGCGGCCTCGGATACGGTATTGGCGGCCTTGGCGGTCTTGGCGGCTGGAAACACTAGAGTGATAAGCCAACGCAGGTGCCAGACTTACGGACGTTATCGCGACCTTACTTTCTTCGCATCTGAATGTTCTGTACATTAGGCGATACGAATAGTATAGGTTGACTATGTATTTGTGAAATACTGAAATAAATAAGTGTCACGGAGTGTTTGTTGTATGTTTTTTATGTTGAAATGAAATTAAGTATCGAAACATACCTAAAGTAATAAGTAGATAGACATAATATAGACAATAACTGGCTTACCTCGTCCAATTTTTAAATATAGGTATTCAATAGGTTTTCGAACTTTTAAAAAGGTTTGTTAATAACCGATTATATGAAACTGAAGGAATCAGCAAAAAACTATGAAATGTAGTTTATTTCATCGGATAAATAAAACAAAGCAATACATTTAACTACACAATTATATTTCATAATAAATACCGTCGACACTTGTCCATCATACTTAGGTAAATGCACATATATTTGAGCGGTTACACCGTCCCCAGTCAGGCTACACAGAGACACGTAACGGTTATAATTTTGATATTTACACGAAATCTCCACAGATTACATAATAACCAGATACCAAACTTTATATATAAGTATAAAACAATTATTTATAACATACTTCGTTGGAATATAATGTATATGTAGTTAGCATATGTCTTTATATTTATTTAAAAATGACAGATTGAAATATTTATTTATTACATGGCAGTGTTATACGCCCACGATATACGGCAAATCAAACAATTATACTACAATTAATCTATCTACTAAAAATAATAAATATCGTTAAAAAACTATATCTTTGTACATGCGCACTAACTGTATCTAGAGAGGTCTATTACATAGGTTCTATGGTACCAAAAATATTAAAATATACGTATCTATATTCATTATATTCTTCTTATTACTGTAATTAGAATGAATGCGCATGACCAAAAAGGTTTAAAAAATTATCTATATCTGTTCATTACATAATCTGTGGTACGAACGCCAGCAAAGCTTCCCCACTCTGTCAAATTAGATTTTTAATTCTATGACAAACAGAATAGAGTTGATAATGTTGGACGCACGAGTCAGAGCGGCAAGTAGCTGATTATGAAAAAAAAATGCTTATCAAGTTCTGTGATCGAATAATAATACAAATAAGAAATGTTTGATTGTTTGTTTTGCTAAAAGTTCCGAAACTACTGGACCAATTTGAAAAACCTTTATCTTTCATCAATTTTTATGGAGTAACATAGATTACTTTTATCCTAATATTTTCACCTCTTATTCTGATACTTCCATAGGATCGGGAGCCACTTGAAAGAAATTATATTCTTGCATAGCATAGAAAATCCGTTTTAAAGTCAGATTGGGGTAGTTTCCGCAGTCGTGTACAACACATAATGCATATATTATCGTTACAATACGATCATGTGACACTGGTTACGTCGGTGTCTGCGCTACGTGGCCTTGGTCCGGAGTCCCTCGCCAAACAAGATGAGACACAGTCGGTCCACTAGGTACGCGAACAACATGTCCGCTATCAATACTTGTACTAATATGATCCGGTACTGAAACAAATAGAATCACATATTATGTAAAGTAAAATTTGTTAGGCCGAAAAGTAGTTAACAAAGATAGATTATTATTGAGAATAATAAAAATATTTAAACACGTGATGGTTTATGTGCATACCATCGGAAATACCAACAGAGTTACAGGTGTGTTATAGGCCTTGCAGGGATTGGGGATTCGGGCATTGAAGATTGAAGATCGATTGGAGATTTAGATGGGACGGTAGGTTTGAGCTTACTGTAACCTCATTCACACAGATGAACACAACGCAAACGTTGTTTCACGCCAGTATTTGGTGAGGTCGTTGTTCCTTTTTGTGCTGAATCATGGCTGAAATAGCTCCAACATCAGAAGTATCCAAGGGAAATTCTAGGAATACTTACTAATATTTCACTATGCTAGAACGACTAGTCTTGGTATTTACGTTTTAATTTAATGTTATTACTTCTAATTTGCCAACAGGATACCGCTATCCTCTCTCATGCACTCCATTATAGACCCTATTATCTACATTTAGAGACTACTTTTGTATCAACAAGTTTGGTTATAGGATGGGACCAAGGTTAAAATAAGGTATTAAAGTATGTTTTTTTATCTTAGATTAATAGTGTTAATAAAATTATAGCAACAGATACTTACATCTGGTGGGAAATATACAATCTCGAACATGTTGGAGAGGTCCGGGAAGATGCCGGCGGCGAGCGCGAGCACGGCGCCGCCAGATATCATGATACTGTACAGCAGGGGCTTGTTGTCGCGTAGACCTTCCATGAATGGTTCTCCCTGCAAACAAACAAAATGTAATGTCTTAACATCCTCAAGATAGAAGAAAAATAGGATGTAGTTGAGGTAGGTACATGTGAATTTGTATACATATATATTAATGCACCAGCGACACAGGAGAAAATCCTAGTCTCTGGTCACTCTAAACTAATCATGTTTTTGGCTTACTCGCGTAGGTAATTATTTGACGAGGAACTCGCCAAGTTTCAAGCCATTCCGCGACCAGCAACGCGGCGATTGTCCCGCTGCTACTGTAGCAGTAGCCGCGCCGCGCTTATATACATGAATATAAATATGAGCGTCTAGCATGGCTTGAAACTAGTCGAATTCCTCGTCAAATAATAAAGTGAGTAAGCCGAAAAACATACCTAATACTTAATGAATTTAGTATGTATCACGAAAGTTATAACAATAAATTTAAAAAAATAGATTAATATAAACATCAGTATAACATACTCTGTAGTTGATAGCGAACGTAGATATCTGCAGCGACATGGAGATGATGTACACAGTACTGTTCAGTAGGTCCGGTGCGAACTCTCGTTCTTCGTCATCCGACAAATCCATATCCAACTTTGGTTTGTTATCCCTGAAAAACAAATCGATAGTTTTCTATGTATCCTCTACTATCTTACTATTTACTACTCTAATAATAAAATGCGAAAGTTTGTAGATGTATGTATGTGTGTGTGCGCGTGTGTGTGTGTGTTTGTTACTCTTTCACGCAAAAACTACTGATCGGATTTAGATGAAATTTGGAACAGGGGTAAAATCTGGTCTGGAATAACAAATAGGCCACTTTTTAACCCACGAAAACGCGGGCGAAGCAGCTGAGAGAAGCTAGTTTAGTATAATATAGATAACTCCCGCCTTGCGTGAGGGCAGAGTGTCAGACTTTTACTGCCAAAAGCTGTATAACGTTGCACAGATGGCGCTGGCATCGTTTTAGGTATAGGTTTTTTTTTTGAGGTGCTAAAATCATCCAATAACTTCTCCCGCCTTATGCCAGGCGGGAGGGAGTGTCAGACTCTTACTGACGAAAAACACCCCGTTCCTACTGCTCTTTGAGACGGAGCCTAGGCAACCAGTTAGGCCTTCTGCGACTCCGCATCAGGCATGTGCCCTACTGGGCCCCATATTCTGTGGCGCAGGTATAAATAGGCATACTATGCCTATGCAAAGTATGTAGTATGTGTAAGCCTATGTAAAGCTTATTAACACCATGCTAAATATAATCAGAGTACCGATTGAATTGACTTACCTTCCAGGCGACCGTGACGTGGCTTCGTGCACCAAGTATATGAGGCAGAGGAAATGTACCGCAAACTGTGTCAGTACCGTCATGATGGTGTACACGTTGAAGATGTTCGGGAGTGGACGCTGCTTCGATAGTTGTTTCAGTGGCTGTAATAGAAATTGAGATTTTTATTGAGAAACTAGCTGACCCCGGCAAATTTCGTAACGCCTAAAAGATTTTTCTCACCTTTTAAACCTTCCCTAGACTTCCACGAACCTATCAAGACCAAAATTAGCCAAATCAGTTCAGCCGTTCTCGAGCTTTAGCGAGACTAACGAACAGAAATTCATTTTTATTTATATAGATATTTGATAGATTTACATTGTGGATATAGGAAGAGATGTTAATGGTGTTAAATTTTATCTTATTATACACTATTATGTAAAGCTAAAGCTTATGTTTGTTTGTTTTTTTTGTTTGTTTGAACGCGCTCATCTCTGAAACTACTGGTTCGAATTCAATAATTATTTTTGTGTTGGATAGTCCATTTATCGAGGTAGGCTATAGGTTATAAAACATAACGCTTCGATAAATAGGAGCTAAGCAGAGCTGGTAAAAACGCGCGGAAGTAAGTTATAAAACCCAAAACTAAATGGCCGGTTATAGTATCGAAAGTAATATCGAAACTCCCCTCATCTTCTATCTCTAAATCTCCACTCCCCACTGACCACTAAGGGCCGATTTTTCAATCATCAGTTAATTCTTAAGTATTTGATTGCCAATAGAAAACTGTTGAAGGTAAATCCTCTGCTAACGTCACCGATGACCCCCATGGAAGAATATCGTTGTGGGCCGGAGGTTCAAGATGCCCGCTTCTCATGCATGAGGCCGTGCAAGTTCGAAACCTACCAACGGCAAGTACCAATGTGAATTTTTCCGAGTTATATGTACTTTCTAATATTATTCAGACATCGTAAGGAAACCTGGACTTATATTTTCTAATTATAAGTTTGTAATCGCAATCCCGCATATAGGCTTTTGATGTATGTATGTAGTATGTAAAAATTATCAAATATTCTAAGTTCTTCCTCAGTTAAAATTTATCTGGCTTTGGAAAAATCGGCCTTAGATCTAATAAATAAATATGTTCTTGTGAACTCACCTTAGATCTTGATATAAATAAGAAGCAGGATGCCAGCAATAGACTCTGCAGTGTGGCCTGTGTGTCACTAAACTTGATGCCATCGAGGTACAGAACAGATTGACTGTACGCCAAGATGAGAGCGTTCAGGGCCAAGATCTTGAACATTTGCAGCGTCGTCACCAGTGTACACCGGCCTTGCTTGATTATGTGACAAACTGGGAACAAATCATTGTGTTTAAGGTTCATTTTGCTATGGTCCTATTTTTTCTTTATTTTATTTATGTAGGGTTTTATCAAAAATGACATGATAGGTAACTCCTTTAAGAGGTAAGCAGAGGCATCTACAATGTAATCTACAATTTCAGAGTTCACGCTACTGAAGATTAGACCCTAATAACACTCTGCCCAACTCGAGAGTCGAACTTGAGA